TTTTTTTTTTTTTTAATCAAGGAYGAAGTGCACGAAATAAATATGCAACTTTAGAAGTCAGTATAGTTGGCCAACTCGCGACYCACGGTACTCTGAGTCGTTTGAACTGTGTCTGGCCTTGGTCACATCCAAAGATAGTTTCCAGCTACAAAAATTAATAGCGATAGCCTAGAGAAGGAGAATAAATAATTTATATTAATTCAAAAATCTAGAACAATATCGTACTTTTATTATGATTTTTCTTTCTTTGTAATAAAATTATACCGTTTAACCATATTAGATATGGGGGAAAGTATTTATTTTTTTGCGAAAATTAAAAATCATGTATGCAGAATCACATAAACGACTACTATTACTAAACTGATAGAGGAAAAAAACATTGAACAATTTGTGGAATTATTAACGAGCCGTAATTCATGGAACAAAATTTAAATAATATGTATTATTATAATATAATGGTATTATATTTAACCATATTATGATGTAGCGAAACCATTTATTAACTACATAGATCGGACGTGTAAGCTTCAATATAAACTATATTAATAAAACATTTGATATTCTTTTAAAATATTTTTATATATTATATTTATTTTTTATTCCATGTACATGTGGTAGGCTGATGATATAATACTACTTATGTATGATTAATACAAGTATTAATATATCTCACTTGAGGTGTGTTACTCAATATTCATAAAATATAAGTAGGTAGGACATTTTGAAAATATTTATTGAGTATTTAAACGATTGGTTTACATGTCTACAACACGCATACTGATTACATTTTAAATGGTATTCAAGAAAAATCCAGAAATCTGTAGGGAATATCTATAAGTACTCATAAATATATTATAAGCAATTGGCAACTGTAAATAGCTATCTATTAAATCTTTAAGGGATATTATAAAAGTTATGGCCCTCGATGAACATGCTGCAAATATATAAATTTTACTGATCAGACATTATAATATAACTGACAAACAAACAATACAATACAACAAGATATGTAGATTATATTTATATATAAGATATTTTATTCTATATAATATCATAATATATTGTAATTAGATTAGGTACATTAGAAAAAATAGATATATTTACGTTTTCATAAATTGTATTGGGAAAGTAATAATTAATATAACATATTATAATAATATAATATAATAGTTACATCATTACATAACAAGATTAAAAATGTATAAAATAAAATACTAAGTAACTTAAGATTTTGCATTTAATTAACCACAAATCTTGGTATTTCACATACATCTTATCKTTTATGACTACCTATATCAAACATTGAGGCATAGATATAATTAATGATGACTACAAAAATGAAAAGAAGAATAATAATGCTGCAATAACTTTGTCAGATCTTTACTGCCTATGGGAAAAAGTCTTCAATATA